CTCCCAGCCTATCTGGCCTATCAAATGACGTAGATGTGAGTAGACCTTCTCCGGCCACCATCGGCCACCAGTGCCTGGATGATCCTCACCATGCCCATGCCACCAAGAAGAAGCAAGTCCTCCTGCCCAGCGTGTGCGCCTAGGCGTGTCGCTGGTCAGGGTCCGACGAGGATGAGGAGATCCTCGTGATTCAGTTGGTTGTCGAGTTATAGTCTGAATCTCCTGAGATGGCAACATGATTCTATTCTAAGGTCTCAAAACCCCCCAAGCATCCCCCCTTCCAAAAAGAAAAGCTCCATCAGTTCAATCGCTTCTGGCCGGGCGCCCCTTGAGGCAGCAGCTGATCGTAGTGAAAGGACATCCCAACAGACTCTCATGGGAGGCTTGGACGTCACCTGCCATCATTTCCTCCCGCCCAATTGCCGGGCCAAATTGCAACGCAACTCGTCCGCGCCTCGATCACTGGCTTTGCGCAAGTCGTAGAGAAAGAGCGAGGTCGCCTGGAAGAAAAAGCCCGGTGACCTGAGCCTTCTCACAATGATAATTACGCTTAGACTTAGAAGATTAACTTGGAACCTGAAAACCACTGGGTTCCAGAGGAAAATCGTCTTCCAGTCAGGTCCATGTTCATGTTCCTGTGGGTCTCTTCCCGGGTGTATTGATCATAACGTCAAGATTGAGCAGTGTCAAGCTGCCAATCTACGATCCATCCAACTCAAGTCCTATCTGCTCAACATCCTAACCTATATACAGGGAGGTGTTGTGAAGAAAATCTGTCCAATCCGGTTTCCAAAACTAGCGATGACAAGGCTGAAAACGGTCAAATCATGTCAAAGCCATGTGTTGTAATATAAGTCCACTTGATAAGGAGAACACATGATGGCTACCAGCTCAGCTGATACCAGCTCTCGCAACCCATCTTGGCCTGAATGACGGCCAGGACATAGGCAAACGTGGCGCGGAGGAAGCAGCAAGCCTGCACCTCTTGGCCGCCAATGTCCAACGGTGGTCAACGGGGGTGTTTGTAACTTGGATACAAATGGAGCAACTGACCTTTTATAGTGTCTATGCATTTCCTTCTGAGTTATATAGATGTCTGTCTTGTCTATCTACAGTAATATTCCAGCCGCTAGCTACATACACTGTATCATACTGTATCTAGCTGAATCCGTGCATTATGTATGAATTGTCTGATGTTCCAAAGAAATGAGGCAGGTCGGCAGGACAAACTAGCTGGGCACCACAGGACCGTCATCTTCTGGCACGACAGCTGTGGCAAATGAGCTGCCTTCGAGGCCTCAATGTAGTGAGGGGAAGAGTTCAACACAAAATGCTGGACCGTAAAAACATCTGGAACTTTTGTGGTTAAAAATACCGTTGTATAATGTTGTATAACTGCAAACAGGTTGGTCTAGGCGTGTCTAGGCGATGCCGGGGCTGAGGCATTGAAAAACGCTCACATTGGCAAGGCCTGCAGGCACACGAGAGTGCGGTCTCCAAGCCGTGAGACACGTAGCAACCGGTATCCGCTTGGTTTCAGGAGCACCGGCATCACACCCATCAAATGGCCCCTATGAACCCCCACTTTCCTTGATTATATGTCTCCGACAGGGTGTTTCTGACTAAACCACCTGAGGAAACCATGTCGGCTGTTCTATTCACGCTCCATTAGTCCAGAAAGGTGAGGCGTTGGGTTAAAGGATTGCCCAAGGCATCCCAAGGCATAGTTCAGTTGTGCGATGCCTCCTCCAGGATTCCAAAGGGGTGATTTCTTTCGACCCATCCAGTGAGTGGATAATGTGCACCCCCTACCCTCTATGAAGCACCCCGACATGGAACTCTTCTTGAAAATGCAGTCCTAGGCAGAGATGTTCCGAGGTGCCTTGGGAAGCCACCCAGACAGTCGCGCGGGGCGAGTTTCCGCACATCGAGGCCCGGCGAGGCCGGCGCCTGCTCCTGCGATGGCCAGGAGTGAGCCACTCCTTAGACGAGCATTGTGTGTTAACTAGCACAGAGAGGGCGTCGAGCTGTGAAACCCCCATGGTAAGTCGGAAAATGGATGACTAGCAACAAGAAGCTACTAGTATCTCGCATCACCAAAATCGGTGGGCAGCTCGAGGCTTTGATATGATAAGTGGCTTTTTCAAGAAATTTATTGTGATAACTTGGGATCGCCCCAAACATATCGATCAAATTCTTCAAAACATCTGCCACGCAGCTCATCAAAGGAGAGGCATGGAAGGCCTGGTGCGAGGACCTGCGACGTGTGAGCCAATTGTTCGAAACTTTGTGTTTGGTCGACACTTTGCCTCATCTTTCCTACCCCGGCCGGCAGAAACGGCGAGGAAAGGAAACTCTTAATTAATCTTAATTACTTGCCCAACGTTGCAAGTGAGAGATATCACACACAAACCAATGCAAACCGGCACGTTGACCCAGTTTTTCTGCCATGTCATGTAACTCAAAACCACTCAAAATCTCATCAAGCAAAAGCCTGATTTGCGTGGTTCATTTCCAGTTGTGCGGGTCTGTGCAAGTGTGCGACCAGCTGTTCAACCTGCTTTTCCCTGGTCCCGGCAGAACACGGCTGACGGATGAAGGAATAAAAACAAAAGGTGCACCAAACAAAAACATACGGGCGAAACACGAAAAAGTGCCACTCAGTGGGCATTGGCATTTACTGCATGTCTCTGCATTTTGGAGGGCCGGGATGGTCTTCACAAGGAGTTTGGTGCGCAAGGTGTCGTTTGGTCAGCCTTTGGTGGACATCGAAGTGCTGTGTTGAGGTGCGGCACTTCGATCACGTTCCTCCATCCCCTACTACTAGCTTCTTGTTCCTAGTAGCGATGGCTGGCCTCCAACCTAATAGCGATGGCCTCCACCTAGTAGCTTCTAGCTCCTAGTTTTACAACTTGCGTCTTGTTTGTTTCCTTCTGCTTAGCTCCAGCTCAAAGACCAGCCACTTGCAAGTGGCGCTCTGCTCCCGCGCACGGTGCTGAGAACAGTTCGCTCGGCCATGGAAAACCCAAATGCGAACCAAAGAAACCAGAAAACTCAAGAAGACTATTCAAGTCACTTAAAAGCAAGAACACCATATAACACCACCAAAGGTCACCGTGGACACACACACACACAAAGAAGCCTAACAAATACAATAAAACCTTTCATCTGTCACGGTTTTATACTGTGGCTTCTCCGGCAAAACGAGGTTTGGCTTCCATGGACGGTGTGTGCTTCCTTCCCCCCTGCCGCACATTTTGACTGTGCCCACAAGATGCGTGAAAAGCACATGAAACAATTAGATCTCAGAAGAAGGGAACGGCTTTAGAAAACACTACTTGCGCCTGGTCCCCGATTCCCTTGATAGGGTGTACCGGTGTACGCTGGTTTGCTTGGTCCCCAGGACGTGGCGGGCTATGGGCTGCCTGGATCTGATGACTGGATTCGGCAGGGCTCCGAGGACTCCGAGGCATTTTTGGTCACCAGCAGCCAGGGCCGGCTAGGGCAGCCAGGGCCGCATCGGGTTTTGGTGTCCCATGGGACGCCGACCTCCTGACATCCATCAGTCGGAGAAAACCAGCGGCACCTCGATGTCCAGCACCAGCGCTTCGGAGCCAGGTACGGCCTGGCGGAAGACGGACGGGCACCGGTCGTCGACCGGGGAAGGTCTTCCGATGCATCGACCGTACCGGCGAATTAAGATGAATTAAGTCCTGACTCGAAAAACGCGTGTCGAGCCAACTACGTAGTGAAACTAAACTCCTCGAGGTCGATGTGAAACATCCACCATATAGGTCCATCTGATTCACATGGCTCCTCTGCGACATCTGAAACTGACCTGGAAGATGAAACACTCCCGTGCAGTGGCGGCGGCCAGGAAGCTGTGCCCTTCTCCATCCTGATGACAAGCAAACATGGACGGGTCAGAGTTGGAGTCGATGTGGCTGTGGGTCAGAGGGTTCTTCTTTCTTAAATCCCAGAGACAACCCATCGGCTCAAACAGAACATGACGAACTGACTTACTTACCGAACCATGGAAGGATGGGATGAAATCAATCTTGAGAGCTTTAAAGGGCAATTTTCCGTTGGTGCTTCACTGTTCCCCTCGAGCACTCTACCATGTCCCACTCTGCTTGTACATCATCGGGCTCCTGCGGGGATATGCCAAAGTTGAGGCATAGAAAAAAAAAAAAACATGTACAAAAACAAAGTGCATCTTTGCATATAGAAGCATTAGGAGCAAGGTTGGAGGACAGGGAACTCCGAATTCAAGAGAGAACTACAGTAAGTTGAGGCAACGAAGGTCAAACCATGTCATGTGCCCAACTTCCTTTTTGCAAAACCCCAAACACGGCCGAAGCATTGGGGCAGGCTCTACCAAAGACCTGCCCCTGGAGTGAGCACAAAAAACTACACGGGTGCCTGCTCATCTGCCCTGTCCGCGCAGAATGGGCTGAACATGAAGCATAGCTTCGGAATGCTTCGTATCTTTGTACAAGCAACTGAGGTCCCACACTCATGGAATCTCAGCAAGTTAATTGCAAGGATCTTTCGCCACACAACCAGTGCCCTTTTCTTGACGCCATTGATTTGGTTGCATGCTTTTTTTGTTTATTTGGCAGTGGGTCGGCGCATGGTGTGAACTCAAGAAATGAGCAGAAAAATGCAGAGAAGGAATATCCACCTAATTACCGGGCTTTTCAAACTTACTCTTGACCCAAGATCCTCTCTGTTGCTGGGAGTGGCTGACCCAAGATCCTCTCTGCAGTGCTTCCTGATGGAGACGGTCAAGAAAAACATACAGGGAAACATTGGGAAACTACAAGCTGCCAGTGGACCTTTGAAAAGACCTACCCAGGCCATTGGCCAAGCAATGGCAAGCCTTTCGCCACCATGGAATATAGCCCTTCAAGAAGTACATACATGTTCACTGAAACGAATGTGTGGTAAGCCATCAATCTGATGTCCGGCCCCAGCCCCCTAGCGGCCCCAGCCGGCCCTCATGGCAAAAACACGGTGACTCGGTCACGCACGTGCTGCCGGCACACCGGACACTGCTTGACCCGTTGCGCACAGCCCTCACAAACGCAAAGGTGGCGACATCGCAGCAGCACCTCCATGAGAGATGCGACCCAGCGAGGTGACCCCAATGACCCGTGGATGGCGGGATCTTACGGCTTTCTGCCAGAGTGACAAGCTGCAAAGAGTATCAAACAGTGACAAGGACTTGAAACTGGGTAGGGCTTGCACCTCAAAATGGTCTTGTTTGGAGCGGAGTGTTTGGACTCCATGTGCGAGTGCCAACATGACCGCAGCAGGTGAAGTGTGGAGTTGAACTGTCCATTCCGAACAGGACCACTGACTGATGGCCCAACGGACATCAACGACGTGAATTGAAGAGAACGCTGAGTCCACAAGCCAAAGCGAGCCGCTTCCGAAGCGGCCCCCCAACCTTCGTGAAAAGGTGTTCTTGTGCCAACCCACCGGATGAACATGACATGAGCCATGAGGTCCCGGAAACAACCAACAACACATTGCTATATTGCTCAATTGCATCTAAATGCCCACCTACCGTGACATGGCGTGTTCCAGGTCGTGGTCCTTCCACCCACCTGGAATACCCCCCAGGTCACCATCCTCTTGTGCAAACACAACCGCAATAGGTACACCACCAATGGAACATGGCAATTTGATCACACGCACACCCGGATGAGCGGGTCCAATACGAACGGCTACACCAACGTCAACTATATACAGTACACATAATATATCATAATATCGGATATCGCAACATACTGATTGAGCTAGTTTTGACGATCCAGAAGGTTTGGCGGCTACACTGTTTCAAGCGACGCAGGTCATGTTGGCCGTTGGATGACGTTCCTTATCGGACCTCGCACATCCCTGCGCCCGCCCACCAAACATGCAGCCGACAAGGGGCACCGTGTTGGCCAGGCGGTCCAAACAAGCCACACACGAGCGATCGCTCACCTCGGACCGCGTGCCACAAATGTGGCCCCAAATGTCGGTGTTCTTTTCTCCCAGGGTCGTCCGGGGTTTTAGGGGCATCTGGTGTTCCACCCGTCCAAAACCAGGATCCATCTCTCGGTGGCCAAGAGTTCGGGCTGTACTTGTTCAGGCGAAACGTGTGCGATGCCGGTCAGATCTGGTTAAAATCGTTCTGCGCGGGCTTCGCTGGGTCGTCGCTGAGGCTCCCAACGGCTTCCTCACGCTGAGATAGCAGGGAGCTACGCTCTTGCTCGAGGGATTGGATTCGCTGGTAAAGCTGCCTGGGCTGAGGACTCGCTCGCGGAAGGCACGCCGAGGGCGTGACGAAGTGGCGTTGGGTCTACGACGGTCCATCCCAACTGAGCACCCACACCTCTTCAAAAGGAGAAGTGCATCGACCTCGAACCAAACCAAGCGGCAGGCGTGAGTAGCCACGGAATCTTGGTGAATGATTACTGTGACTGGAGACATGTCCTTCATCCGAAAAGAAGATGTCTAACACATAAACTCCTAGCTTTGATGTTCGAGGGTTGTGTGACCCCACCCACGCCATGGTACGACCCAAAGCCATCAAGAAAGCACTCAGACTAACACGAAGTCAACAAATTCTCCTCCCATCATGCTGCATCATTTTGATATGATGACTCGATCGCGACCTTATCAGGGTCAAACGCTTATCATGCGAGAGAGAGAAGCTAAGGTTTAGGTACCCATTCAACACCCAATGGATCCAGTTCCAGCCACCACTAATAGAACCCGTGTTTTCACCCTGCCAGGCCCCCCGAAAAAAGGTGCCCTTACTAAGGTTGAATCCCAATATGAGCAAAGTGCTAAAGGTCGGCACTCACGTTTCTTCAAAAATGAGCAATTTGCATTTTCCTTGAAAACACGATACCAATCCCAAAAACGATACCTAGCCTTGTGACGGTACACATCTTGGAATCTATCTTTGCCTGTTGACAATGTTGACACTCGAGACAGTGTATGTCCAAGTTTTTTTTGCATATGGTTTGCCATGCTAGCTGGACATTCCATTTAATTTTTGCTAATTTTCCCTTCGTTTTCTTCGATGGGAAACAATTATGGGTTCAGACCGATACCAAAAACAATACCGGTCTGTATCCCTCAGACACCACCTGCCCACTCACATGCCACTACTACTGCCACTACTTCTATTTCTGCTACGACGACGACGACGACTACTACTATACTACTATGACGACGACGACGACGACGACGACGACGAGGACTACTACTACTACTACTACTACTACTACTATACTACTGCTACGACGACGACCACGACGACTACTACTACTACGACGACCACCACCACCACGACCACGACCACGACCACGACCACGACCACGACTACGACTACGACTACGACTACGACGACGACGACGACGACGACGACGACTACTACTACTACTACTATACTACTACGTAGTACTAGTACTAGTACACGACGACTACTAGTCATCATTTGCAAGATCACCTTCCGGAGCAAATTACATTTAGACGATACCTCCCAAAAAAATTGCATATGAATTGAAAAAACGATACAAGTCCCAAAAACGATACCATGCTCTAAACGTACCACCAAACGACCCCTAGTTTTGCCGGTCGCTCATATGTCGATCCGGGTGGCTTAGCTGAACTCATGTGACACCAACTTATAACATTCAACTTACACTATTCCGACCGCCTGTTCAGCCAGCTCGGAGGTCTCCACGTCACTCAGCCGCCGTTGCCCCTGCAGCCGCTCCTCGCTGGCCCTGCAGCCGGGTGGGCGGACGAAGTGGCAAAGTGCTGACCCCAAAAGAAACAACCGCATTCATAAATCTCTGACAAACAATGGGTGAAAGGTTTGCGTAGAATAGAGCAGTTTTCCTCTCAACTCATTTTAGTTTCTACTCTTGACGGGCCGTTGGAGGCCCACACTCAAACCAAACCATGGGTGGAAACCAGGCCCTACAACAAGTAGATTGGAGTCTACATGCCCCCTTCTGCGTGGAGTTGTTCTTAAATAAGGCCCTCATTTTGAGTGTCTGATCATGCCAAACACTGAAGGCCTGTCACCCATCCAGCGCGCACACTTCACACATCACTGGCACCCCCAAACCCTATACAGAAACAACAGTAGGGTGTTTCGCCCGCCTCCCTGTTCAAAGGGCAAGTACAAAAGCATGCAAGTACAAAACACCAAGGGACAAGACTCGGTATGAGGATCTTTTCAGTGCCCCAATGTCTGACAAGCCAGAAAGCCATATATTCCAAATTGTAAACCTCTGGGTGCACAAACAAGGACATATACTGTGTATATATATATATTAAGTTATATATATATATATATTAAGTTATATATATATATTGTATTAAATTATATATATATATTGTAACACCTCCAGTGGCCCTGGAGAGGCTTGCACCTCAACAACTCGGCATTGGTCTTGGTCAGATCCGCCGAACGGTTCCGCTCGCTGTCAAGGTTGGCCTGGAAAAAAACAGAGGGCGGGTGTGCTTGGGAGAGCACACACTGGCTCAAAACCTACCAAGAACACTGAAAAACACATTTCATTCTTTTCAAGAACCGCTTTGAGACCTAGGCGAAGCGCATATTTTTCTATATTTTCCTGCGCCCATTCAATCACTATGTGCAATGTCAATGACAAAAACTAAAACCACTCATTTTGCTCACTATCAATGTGTAACACCAATGATAAGCGTTATCAGTTTTTGTTCAATATAAATAACTGCCTGGTTATTGTATTCATGTGTTCTCAATATCGGTCAAGGCTGTTTGGTTTTGAATCTTGAAAGGCTGTAGCCTAGCATCACCACGTGCTCATTTTGAGTGATTGGCATCAAATATGCAGACTTGAAACACTCTCCCCTCAGCAACTTCGACCTGGTCCCAAAGGGCCTGTCTATTGTTCTGACAGGTTTTACAAGTTATGAGTTTATGATTGATTATTTATATTTTTCCATCGGTGCTTCAATATGTTTGATGCCGTATCTCCTCACCAAGCTCTTCCTAGTCGCTAGTCCTAATCCAAACAGACTGAAAAAACAACGGGCTAAGATGACTAAGTAGAAACGTTGCTCGTTGAAGAACTTTCCGTAGATGTTCATAGACCAGAAGCAATCCAAATAGCGCAGATGAATTGCTGTATGAGTTTGGCTTGTCTGGCATCTTGTCCAAACCAAGAGAACAAGAACCATGACAAGACAACCAAACAATACATTTTGCTTTGATATAAATCAATCAAACTTCTTGTGCCTAGTCTAGCTCCTTACCTTTTTGAAAGAGCTAAGCAGAACGAAACAACTTGACCAAGAGATAAACCCCCTAATGTTGATTCTTGGTTATTAAACCATCCCAGAGTAATGTCTGCACACTTTTTCTGATCGATTATTTAACCGTCGTAAAATAATGTCCGCACCTTTGGGCCTTAATAACAAATATCCACGAATTTGTTCATATAATTCCTATTGGTTTCCTGTTGATTTCTATTGCTTACGCTTGAAAGTGTCTCATTAATTTCTTTAACTACCTCTCTCTCTAGATATTTTTTGCTGACATATTGCAAAATTCTGTTTCACACAAAGGGTAGCCCAGTAAACCAAACATATTGAACAATATCACACCCTACAATAATGTCTTCTCTTTGGATCTTTAATTGATTAAACACCTCCTGGAATAATGTTATATAACTACGCATGTCATGTTTAATGAATTCTTGTTATTTTGATTCCTATTGATGTACTTTTGGATTCATTTTGATTTCTATATATATATGTATTGATTTCCTTTGTGGATTCTGTTTGATTCCTATTGATTTCCTTTGGGGTTCCTTTTCATTCCTATCGATGTCCTTGTAACATAATGTTGATTCCTATTGATTTCCTTTCAACATCCTGTTGGTGTCCTTTAAACTTCTCTTGGTTCTTATTGATGTCCTTTCAAATCCTTTTGAGTCCTATTGATTTCCTGTTAAAATCCTTGTGATTCCTATATTGACGTCCTTCCCAAATTATTTTGATTCCTATTGATGTGTTTAAAACTCGGTTGATTCCTATTATATTGTAGTTTTTTGTTTTTTTGGATTGTGATTCGCTTTGAAATTTGTTTGGAACTTTCCAGACTCATTCATTCTTCAGGAGATTCGTGGACTTGACGAACGGTGGCGAGGGGGAAGCGGGGGGGGGGGCGTGCACTAATCAGGTTCCAAGACCACTTGTGGGACACATATGTCATGGATCCACGGGAAAGACCACACCAAACGACCGGACGGTCCGAGTCACCCACGGGGGTCGTCCGGCTCAGAGTCACCCCGGATCCGAGGGGGGCCCGCGAAGGACCTGCCTTGTGCCCAAGCTCCGGTCCGGCGCAATGATAGAAGTGAGATAAGTATAAACATAGGGATAGCTAGTAGCACTGCTAGTAGCTTCTTGTTGGTAGTAAGGCCAGGAGCTACATGAGAACAGCGTACAGTAGCGTCCGATCGCTCCTAGTAAGCGATGCCCCTTGTTACTAGTAGCTGCACAAATAGAGGAATCGTGTCAAAGCTTATCACTTTCTACACTGCTGAACTTTAGCTTCCCACTTAGTGGATTAAACCATCTACCCAAGGAGGTGCTAATTCACAAACGATGGGGCTGGGAGTCCAACTCCAACAACCATGGTTTTACACTACAAAACCAGGCCAACCGTTCTTTCTTCATGGTCGTTCGAAGGCTGTCTGGCAGCCATTGCACACCTGTGTTTGGGACTTGTATCTGTTGCATCACGGGCGGTGGGTTGTGGTTGGGCCGAGAACGGCGTGACAGCCACCATTGACAAGTGATTCACCATGTCGAAGGATGCCAAAGGCTACAACACCGGTGGGTATGACTATTCTTGAGGTCGGAGCAGAATTGACGTGGCACGTCTGAACAAAATATTAAAGGAATACAGTCATCTTCGATCAGGAAGTCTCAAACTTAAAGTTCTTTCTCCTGTCCTGGACTATGTTTGACCACGGTCTTTCCTCTGGGCCTCCCAATCATCGCCCCGCGCCTGGAGAACCCTTCGCAAACCGAATTGGTGCTCCAACTCCTTTTGCAGTTGATCAATCTCGGAACGAAGGCGCTGAAAATCCTCGGCCCGCGGCGCTGAACATCCCGGAGCTTTGGGGAAAACCGGCTGGAAACCTGGCCGCCTGACGTCCAGCAGTTTCGAGATGCAAAGGCGATGGAATGCGGCATGCCCAACATACTATGTCAATTGAAATGTTGAAATGACGTGAAATGACCTCGTCCGTAGATCCTAGTACTAATTCTTCAACTCCAACCCACCAAGTCGCATCCTATTACTGTAACCTATCCTAAACCACTTCCACGCTCCCTTCGATCCCTTCGATCTCTTCGATCCCTTCGATCTCTTCCCCCGGTCCACGAGACTGGTGCTCGGGCCCTCGGGGTCGCGGCGGGACGAACGGACCTCTGTGCACTCCGTCTCACCCGGAGCAGCGGCCGCTCGTCCCAGCCGAGGCAGGGCATCCGGGTGGCTAAGCCCGCTCGAGTCGGAGGGCCCGCTGACGGACGTGATGGTTCACGGTACGGCGCCGGTGAAGAAGGCACTGGAAGGCACTGAGTTGACGTCCTTTGTTGGGAACATCCTGGAACTGATGGTCCCAACTGGAGACCCACACACCAATACGAACTCTATAGAACTCAGGAATCTGTTAGCACATTTGCTAGGGTACTTTGAAGACTGCAGGTATCAAGTGAGCCAACCCGGAATGACGTACGGCCCTGTGGTTCGGCATGCATGCATTGTTCACAAATTGCTGACAGGCCCATGCGATGTACAGAATGTCGTTCGCACACGCTCTTGTGGCAACTTTGCGGGGCGAGGCTGTACTATACAACATATGGTCCTCGTATACGCGCTTTACAGGAAGGACCGAATTAAAATTTCCTAGACTGGGCTGGCCGATGAACATCGCCGCGTGCACAAACGCACTCGCCGCTGTACACCACGAGACATCGGTATGTGGGGCGGCGATTCATGGCCAGGAGAACTCACTGTATAGGATCCTGTAGCACAGTAGTGCTCAGCTGCTCAGCATGGGTGAGCGAAACTGTCCTAGGCTGGTGACCCCCTCCCAAACAGCCGATAAAGGGGATCTTTTGGGACCACAAAACCTGGGGCGGCCTGGGCCTGATGCAGCCTGATGCGACCATTTGCAGGCGGGAGGCTCATCTATAGGTTCATGAAGTCGGGCCATCACTCAACACAAACGGCAATAGGATATACCAGGGTGGTCTTGGGCCTCCGGGCATTCCGTACCTCAGCCAGAAAGTGCACCAGAACCCAAGCTGCCCTAAATCAGGGAAGTCCTCAAAAGACCAAGTGCCAACATGGTCTCCAAGTGTGCTCTTAAAGTGCAGCATGACTTTCAGTGTTGTGATGTAAAGGCAAAAACCTGCAGGATTTCCTGCAAAACTATATTAGCTTCCATGAACGTACAAGCATTACGACAAGCATATGAGAAACGCTTTGCTCTCCGAGCCAAAAATGAGAGAAATGCTACACCAGGCTAAGTTAAAAGTCACAGGTGCCTAATTCTGCACCTTTCAAACAAACTGTTTGGACATACAGGTCCGCTAGAACACCTTATACATCTTATACCAGTCGAAATTGGTCCTTCCCGGGGCGTACAGTCATACGGCTTTTAGGGGGGATGGAGTCAGAAAACAAAAGACATCAAAAGACTGGGACATGTTGGGAGGCAAAAGAAGTAGAATGCCCTGTTCCCATCTGCACCCTAGACTTACTTGGCTGCTTCGATGTTGCCTGCCAAACCCCAACGATGCTCCAATACTTCAAAATTCCAAAGAACGGGTTCCATAATGGATGGTTATGTTTCTTCTGAATCGAAACCATGAACTCATGAACCCCCAACATTCTCGACCGTGGCACCTGGCACTCTGCCTTTCGCTGCAGCTCCTCCTCATCTTCAATGTCAAGGAAGGTGTTGCGCACGATAAGCCGGGGCTCACGGCTCTCAGAAGGGCTCTCCTCCTTGAACAGTTCAGCACTGTAGTTGTTTGGGTTGACTTGAGGAGTTAACCGCAAGTAGTATTAGACAAATCTACCACCACCCTCCGACAAAACCTGGAACCGCAGCGAGGACCGCCTTTTTTTTGTGTCGATCAATCCATGCCAAACCATGGGCCTTGCATGGGCTACAGTACTGCAGGCAGCCACTACAGGATCTACAGGGCTCTCTTTCCTGCTTGCCGCCAAGCTTCCCAGCGCTCTGAGCCCTTTAAGTTCGACTCATCTGAAAGGAACTTGGCGTCCACATCTTCATGAACCCCTCCGAGGCTACAGGGTCGGCAAAAGCAAAGTGTGGATATGTGTGGATCCCAGTTGCTGGCCACTGCGGGTGGGTTTCTATAGGCTTTCATGATCTTTCATGTCTATGTCTAAAGTCTTCTGGAACTGTTATGGTTATAGTTATGATACGTATAGTAATGTTTAGCAGCTACCGCGCCGCCCATACCTCCGAAAAGCATCCCGCACCACCAAGAACACCCCTGGACAACGGGTGGCCACCATTGGCCACCGCCCTGTCGTCCCTGGCCATTCTTCTTCGTTCCCACCCCGCTCGGGTGCGTTCCCACTTCGTTCCGTTCCGGCCCGGCCTGGTGCGGAGGGTCCTCCATTGGCGCGGCGATAGGCGGTCTTCGCCAGCGGGAAGACCTCGAAGAAGCGATCCTTCACCGCCATCCAATCCTTCGGGGGGCTGCGGAACGCGGTAGCAGGGAACGCACGTGGGGAACGGTCACGGTGAGCGGGTGCGAACCCCACAGAACTCGCCCACGGAACTCGCCACGGTGTCATACGGTGTCCAAAAGGGCGATTCGGCCATGGGAGATGGTGTTTTTTCGGCCATCCGAACCGAATCCTGGCGGGATTGAGTGATTTTTGGGAGGAGCACATGATCTCCGGAGAGTTTCCGGAAGGAGGTGAAGTGAAGGCAGAGGAAGAATATGAGGTCATGCGGGGTCAAATGGAAGCAAAGGATGGCAGGAAAGGTTGGGGGGGCTTGTGCCGATGAAATCCATGTCCGGTCTCTATGATTTGCCGGGACCTGTGAGGGCTGGCCAAACGAGTGGAAACCCAACAATACACCGCCTTGAATAAAGCACTGCAACACTCTTTTTGCGAGGCTTCCCGAAAGCTCGGCCACATCAACACGGTCTTGGACTCCTCTGAAGTCAAGTAACCTACCAACCTCCCTAGCCCTAAAACAAGAGTGGACATGGAACGCAGCCCGCATTGCCCCTGGAAAACATCATCCTGGTCCAAGGAAGCTCGTCTCATCTTGGTAGCCAAGGCTCTGCACGTCGCACCACGCACTGGTAAGGCACCAGCTCACGACTATCCAAGGTGTCAAACGTCTCCAGGTCCTGCAGCACGGCTCAGACCCGACCCCTCACGGCTCCACCTGCACCTTTGAGGATCCCAACCGTCACCGATTTGCATGAAAGTGACGTTTCATTCGAACCAACCCCAAACAACCAGAAAGAAAATGAAAGAAAGGGATGTTTCCCAGGAACCATTTGTTTCTAGTTGTTTGGTTTCCCAGGAAAGCATGGTGGGTCAATTCGAAGGTCTTGGACCTGGGCATGGGAAATGGCAAAGCTCGAGCTGATCAGAACAAGTAAATGCATTGCCATTACCCCGAAGCCATTCGGGTCAATTCCGTGTATTGCATGGCTGCAGTTGCCAAAGTTTCACTGCGACTTGCCACTTGCATTGTAGCGTGGCCTGGGGCCATAAAGGCAGTTGCATCACTGGCTATACGCATGTAAATATAGATCTTGTCGTACAGGCCAGACTGTCCCCTTCAACTTGAGACCTCCTCTGAGGAAGTTGCTGAGGCCTACAGTTCAACACTACAAAAATGACACCTGGTCTCAAGCAGGACTGGGCGCTGATTTTTAAGGTCTAGGATCTGATGGCTGTCGCTTCGGTCAAGTTGCCAGTCCTCACCAATGGCTTTGAGGAAGGCAGTGAGGTACTGCGACAATCGGAACTTGGTGCTTCCGTATGAGCCTCCACAGAACAATGGCAGGAGCCTCCTATCTCAATTTAAATCATCAAGATAAGCTCTGGTTTGGCACTGCCAGCAGCGCCATCGGCAGCCCGCATCAGCAACAACACAAAAACAGAAACAGTTTCAAACAAATCTGAGAAAAAAAATCAAAGAGTGAGTCCATTGTGGCCAACAACCATTGTGGAGTACAGCTGTGAAAACAGGGACTGAAGGTCCGCCAAGTCCGGACGTCTGGTACTGTATTTGGCCATGTGAAAAACAAACACCCCTCAACAAGTCCACCGTCCGCTTCTCGCCCAAGTCCGGATCTCGCCCCGCCTGGCTGGAAACGTGCCCAATGCTTCATGCCCAAGCGTTCCCCCGCGTCGATGGTGATGATGGGCTCCCCGCAAGGCACTAAGGGCATGCCGCGCTTGAAGCTCTGGATGGAGAGCACCTGCAGCTCGGTGAGGGTGGAAAAATGATGGGAGAAACCAGTACACCAACCAAGAAAAGTTTGACAAGTGTCCTTTTGAATCCGTTTGACAGGTTGGACTTTGGGGTCTGTGATGCGTGTGCTTGATTGCTAAGCTGTTGATCGACCAAATCATGGATCTTGAGCTCAATAGACCACCCGTTGGCGGCCAACCTCCCAACGCAAAAGAACGCACCTTGACGGCCAATGTGCACCAAATGCGACGTTCGTATCACGAGGCGTTCGACACGATACAACGTTCAGCCAACCAACAGGGGCACGGCTGCCCCGATGTCATGCCCAATCAGATCTTCCACGTCCAAACCAAGTGACCATGTAGAAGCAGGCGTCCCGCGCCCGCAGTTCGCAGATGCCGGGACGGTTCAGGAAATATTGCACCGTCTGACGGGTCGACTCCAGCAGGATCCGGAACCTCACGTGTGAGTGTGTGACGTTTTTTTAAAAAGAAACGGTAGATAACGGTCGATCTACCCAAGTCGAGGTACTCTTGCACATTCAAGAGGCATACCAGGGTGCCCGGAGCTGGAATCAAACTTTCCGATCTCAGACCTCTTTGGCCATCCAAGGGGGGACTTGTGATGTGCCTTGGGGAGTCTAACTTCCTCCAATTTGCGGTCTTGACTCCTTGGTCTAAATGATCTAAATGCGCCTTTGAAATCTCCAGGAAGGCTCCAGATGTGCACAGGTGCGCACTGTAATTACTCGGAAGTCGCCACCCCCCTTCCGGACACCGAACCAACCATGAGGCTGGAAGGTGGCCCAGCTTGCGAACTTGTCCTCCGGCACCCGAGCCACCACCGTGATGTTGAAGGCATCGCCGTCAGGGCGAACCACCAGCACGGCACCCTGAGAAACAGTGCGAAGAAGGGGGGCCAGCTGGTGGTATCCGGTGGTCGTGAAGAAAAGAGTGTCAGAAGAAGAAGGAAGAAGGAGGAAGAATGAAGATAGATAGATAAAAGAACTACAAAAACAAACAAACACAGCAAAAAAGGCAACAAGCCATCAAACAGAATACAATGATAGTTGAAACATGTTGAAAACACGTCTGATATAATATGATTCTCTTTACAGCATCCTATACAAACAACACAACTTAGACTTTGACATTTGAGGAACATTGGGGTGATAGATGGTGACAGTGATAGACTCTTACATACTGCGCTCCACCAACCGGTCGAAGTCCCCCGCCTGGGAGGACTGCTCATGGTCCCAAATGGCAGAAGCACTATCTCCTTCCAATGGGTAGTCCCTGCGAATTTTGTGGTGCAACCTCGCGGGGTGGTCCTTGTTGTGGAAGAAGTAACCAATGAACTGGCCTGTGCACCAGTCATCGGAATGAGTCTTTGACAGAATGGCTTTAGGAGAATCTGTCACAGGACTTGTCCAACAGGAAAATCTCGGGATTATTTGGGTAGGGACATTTACAGTAACTGACTTTCCACTGACTGCAGATCTTTGTGTTGAACAACTCCGACTCAGTCTATCATTTATATGGTGGACATGAATCCCCACCCCTCTGCTGAAGGAATCCACCATCCGGGACGTCCAAATTCAGCCAGCACTATTCGCTTGGTTCTTCGTTTTAATCACTGTATGGGTGGGGCTTCAAGGGATTGATCAACACCAGTAGTCCTTAAGCCTTATACAACTAATCTAAAAGTCCACCGACGAGTGAAAACACACTTCAAGGCATTCATCAGTGTAAAAGAAAAAAGGCACCTGCCACATCACCAAAGAGCACAGTGCACAAGCGCATCAATTTCCAGGAAGTTGAAGTGGTCAAAATTGCCTCACCTGTCACCAGGCCGATTGTTGCGTTCATCCAAGCAGGCTGGGGTGTGCAGTTTCAGGGCATGCTGAGTCCAAGGATTACCTCGCAGGTAGAGATGCGTCAGATCTCAACAAGTCAAGCTTTTACCAAGGTTCAAAAAGCAAAATCCCAAACTAAGGAACCCATGAGAAGTGGCCCCATGTCAAGTTCTGACAGTAAAGGAGTACAGGCTGGCGAGCATCCTCCATCCAAATTGATGCCTTTCCATTTCACAATGTATCTTTGATGGCAGTTTTATGCACATCTGGCCGTTGGTTTTCAGGCATGCTCCTCTAGAATCCAAACAAGATGATGTCGATTCATGGTGATGTTCTCCGAGACCGAATGATGTGTTTTCGTGGCCACCGGATTTCCGTCTCGACTCGCTTTTTGCGGCCAGCTTCACCCCTTGCGCTCCACAAGCAACAGCCAAGTCTCTCTCTCTCTCTCTCTCGAGTCTGGCTATGCATCAGCCGTCCCACAGGAACACTCAGCCAGTGAAAACAAGATACTGCTCTCAGTAATCTGCCGAAGGACATATATAAGAACAGGAGTCCCTACAAAACAAGTGTGCAACGCTGCCTGGTCGGACGAATTCGTGGCCATCGAGCTTGTTGCCACTCATGGGGCACTCCTTCTGGAACAGTGCTCTCACCTCTGGCCTGAACGACCGGATACGACCGGCCAACGGGCGAAACAGGAGTTCCGTCACCCACTGTGGTCATCGACACCTGGAAGCCGCCTGCGGTCCGCCCGGGGTCCCAGCTAGGGCAGCTGGGTCCATCATGCTACAAAGGCGACTCTTGGATTCATAACAAAGATCCGCCCAATTCACGCAAAATATCGTCATGATCATCATGCATGTTTATATAATCATTCCAAACGCAAGAGTATCAAAAAGAGCCAGCGCATGCTAGCACCATGTAGCAGCGCCAAGTCTGCCCCCAGCACCCCAACGATGCCTCACCAGGACGTGGCTGGTCTTGGCGGGGGCATTCTGAATGGTGATGCCCTTTAAGTTGAAGCGAATGAGGTGTCCACCCCAAGGGCAAGTGCGGTGGCACAGCTTGGCCTTAGGCCTGGCTAAGGCCACAGCCCAACCTTCGGAGGAGAGCAAATGCGGCATCAACTGGAACCATTCCTGCACATGAAACGGACGAGCCGACCAGCCGCGAAGTGTTGGAGAAAACCCTCCTCTTGCAGGTGGAGACCATGTGATGTTTGAAACGTACTTGGACACTTTGGAATTACACGTGCGTGTCTGTGCACGTGCACCCATGACACGCTTGAAAACCTGGCTGGAATAACTTAAAATAGACCATGGTTTCTTCTGATCATCCTGGCAATCTTTCGCACATTTGCAACCTGGAAGGCTCGGACGGACGGTCGAAGTTGCCCAAAAACATATAGAGGCCCCGGACGACACGGGTGAAGTTCACGTCCACCGTCGTCTTTTGGTCCCACTTTCGCACGGGGTCAAGCTCTGTATCCCTAGGAGACATCACTGAAATGCATCGCTCCGTAATTATTGAACTCACAATGCATGGCTCATCATCACCTAGACTGTATTTTGGGTGCTGCAACAGTCCTCCACGGATTCTGGACGTGTGGCCATCATCACACAGGGACGCAGCAAATCACGGGGGTGTGGCGGTGCGACTGGAGCCGGGATGCTTGGCGGTTGCAGTGTGGGGTGGTTCAGCCATCATAACCCCGCGCGGCTTGAATCTGATTTGATCTGGGCTGTGGGTGATGAAGATTCACCCCCCAAAAAGGAAGCAAAGTCTTAGATGTTTTCAGTTGGTTCTCCTTTCTCTCCAGGCATGCTTTCCTCTACGCGAGACAGGCATGTAAGTATTAGGTATCAAGCATCTGTTCTATGATATAATCCTGCATTCTGAGTCTTCTGTAAAAAGCATGACAAAGAACAAACAAATATATTAATATATATATATAGTGTGTATATATATATATAACACTTGTACAACACAGCAGAGCGCGCGGCATTGCATGAAGCAGGCTACAGTTATGCCATATCCTGTTGTGTATATTATACTGTTGGCTCAGTGGACCTACCTACCTGCGATATCCTCGCCACGAACCATGCAAGCAAAAAGAACCACTTCCACGGACCATGCTGTCCACTTCCATATCGGAGTGTGTGAGGTTTGACCTCACCGAAAAAAAGGGTGCGCCGCTGCTGTAATGCTTGACCAGGCATCCTCTGGCCCCTCGTAGGCGCGCTGCCGCCAGCGGCCAGTACCAGACGCCCGGCCAGTGGGCGGACGCGCCGCCAGTACCTGTCGATTGCGGGAACCTTGCTTTGCTGAGGGGTCCGCCCCCTCCCACTGAGATTTCTTACCAAATTGATAGCTGATGCTGAGGATCCCCCTTCTGCGCATCCACTTCCTCGTGAGCTCCACATGTAGATAGAAACCAAAAAAACATCCACCATATGAACCAATCAGTGCAAATAGAGAGGATTGATTCGCTGTGGAAACGGGGGAAGCTGATCTTGTAGAGGGCCAGGCTGGGCAACGAGCCGGCTGGGGCATGGGAGCCGCAGGTGGCCCCCCGGCAGTCAGAGGTTGACGACGGTTGAGCTGCAGATGGATGAATCATAGACATTGGAAAAGCCCCTCTTTGTAGAGGAATATGGTCTTTCCAGAGGCCATATTCCACTTCCATGCTAGTTCCAAGGAGAGTAGTGCAAAAAATGTACATTATTCTACAATATTCTACAAATGAAATTAAAACTACAGTATATGTTTCATGCTGTTCGAGGTCCGGAAGTCTCCGGCTGGACTCTCATCCCACCAAAGCTCTCCGAGCCGCCTCCGGCGTCTCAGGTGTCTCAGAGACGGAGCGGCGGCCTTGGGAGACAGACTCGACGGTGGAGGTCTCGGGACACGGTTGGGTTGCTGGGGCGAAGGGTGGTTTCATCGTGTCCCCCGCAATTTGGAGGGCCTCCTATAGCGCTTCAGGCCGGAGCCCGAAGTCTCAAATTCATTCAAATCCACAGCTTTCAAGACGTCATCAAGCAACAAACTTGTGCCATCCCAAAAGCTGGCAGGAGACTGAACAACATATTCAAATACTATAGAATGTCAATCTAAGTCCAATGATTGATAGATCTACTGATCGACTTAAAGCAGTCTTTAAGAGGCTCTGATCCACTTGGAAGAGTATGTTCCTTTCAATCAATGTCACTGATGTCGCCAGGAGACCACCAGGCCCACGAATCACAGCACCCAAGCTGCTGGCCACTCTCCCTGAGTCACGGATGCTTAGGGCTCGAGACGGCGGGAACCAAAACACCATGGAGGGTGGATGAGCACAATCTTCGGTCAAAACATGTCACCCAATACCACCAAGCTCCAAGAGGGAAGCCAAGAAGTTCCAAGTGGGTTTGAACATAGTCCTTTGCAAAGGGCCTGTTCCGTTCCACCTCCAAATTGGTGGGAGGGAGTGAAACTTGGCTGGCCACTTGTGCCCCATGATTCTGTGATCGACGATGCTTCCTAGACTGGAGTCGGGCAAATTCATTGGCTTTTAGAGAATCGTGCAGTGATCCCTTTCTTAACACTCGTCTGCGTAAGCCGGGAGCGACTAAACCGAATGAACAGCTGGAATCTACAGCTAGGCAAACTCCAGCAAAACGGTCATGGGTCATGGGTCATGCATCAAACCGTTGACAGTTTGCATACTCACAGGTGCAAACAGGTGCATAACCCACCTCCTTACACTTCATGAGGCAGCCATGCCCCCCACATCACCCCGTGCTGCCCTGGTGACTGCCATCACTGGCGGCTCTCCGGATCACGCCACCCACGTCGAAACCTGCCACGACCGGAGAAAATGCCATTCCGCAAGTGGGCATGATGGTTAGTAAAGACGGCAAAAACATGTAAAAACGCCGGTGACTGCTACTGCTGGTAATGGGACACACCCTATAAACCCTACGTTACATAGCCTGTCCCCACACCCAGCAACACTTGATGATAGTCAAGGTTCATCAAGGGCCTCAGCTGATGAATAATTAGAGACAATTGTGTTGCTGTGTGGGCAAAACTGAAAGTTGTTCTGAACCATGATTGTACCGCGATGTGTTGACTGGTCTTCAGTTATGGCCATTCCTCTCTCCCCTAAAGTTGCACGCAACTTATAAAATTCTGCCTTCCTTCATCATAGGAGAAGTCTTCATGCTCCTCATCCCAAGTCTCCCCCCTCCGACCCCATCGGCGTCTTCGGCACACCTGAGGTACGGCCCTCCGAGAAGCTTCTCTTGCGTTCAGGGCCTGCGCCTGCCGCCGGAGCCCGCACAAAGCGCGCCCGGACGCCCACCGACGCCCGGCGTCCGCGGCGGCTGCGGCCGTTCCGAACGCTGTGTCCGGTTGGGCGGTGGGCGCCACCGGCGGTGGGCGCCAAAAAAGGGACGAACATGGAGGAAGTGAGATCGGATGTTCTTTCAATTCGCCGGTGGACCTGGTGAAGGCGCAAGTCCGACCTGGTCCGGTGGCGTCCGGTCGCACCGGTGGCACGGTGAGGGCTTGAAGGGCTTGGAGGGCAAAGAAGTTCATGATTGGGTTGAAACCTTTCGTGAACCAAGGGACCAAGATCTTTGGGTGGACACTGGTTGAGTGCACCCTGATGGTGTCTTGCTATGGAACGAATGTCACCTACAGACTTGGTCGGTCAAAGAATGAGAAAGTTGAGAAGCCCAAACATGGACTCCTATGCAAAAGGACAAAGAACAAGAGGCTTCATCGCACCTCTAGCTATGAGCAATCCTGGGACGTTTTCTTTCAGCTGGTGCACACCGCGCCCAAGCATGCCAAAAAACAAGCCTCCATCCAAAACCACTTGTTCAAACCTTGGTCATGCAGGGCTTCCCCCGGTGGTCTTGAGATGGCATCTTGAGAGCCAGTCGTAACAACCAACTCGCATGTCAGCCATCGCCATCGGCTTGGCCGCTGGGGTTTCCAACTATATGGCTACTTTCAATATCTTTCAATCGTTGCATGGCAAAAGCTGCACCAACTATTTGGAGCAGTGGCAAAGCCGTGAAGAACCACCAAGAACTTGAGAGAGGAGGGGGTGAACGAAAGGTAGCAGGCAATCACAAATAACCCTGGTAGAAGTCCATGACGGCGTGAACCGGCGCACGGGGGATTTGATCCAGGGGGGCGGGGGCCCCCCCCGACGAAGAGAATCATCTCTTACAGGACCAAATTCAATGCACAATCCCAACTCCAGATTGTAACATATTTTGCTAAAGCTAGGGCTAGGACGGGCTAGGAGAACTCAGGTAGCTCAAGCTACCTTTCGTGACTTGAGAAGAAGGAGGTGGACCAAAAGTAGGTAGGCAGGTAGGTAGGTAGGTAGGTACGTACCTAAGGGCAATCGGATCATGTATTGGCAACATAGGCAGAGAGGGAAAACTCTCCGTCTGTATCGTCTGTGTTTTTTTCTCGTCTCTCTCTCTCTCTCTCCCACAGTTCGCCGAGCATCAGCCCCAGAAATCGCCGCAGGGACTAAACCCACCCACAATGAATGTTGCATGTCTAGTAATGAATGTTGCATGTCTAGTTCCGGCTTCTCAAAGGGTTTTTATACCAGGACCTTCCAAGGGGTGCCCAATGGAAGCCCCTACACCACTAAGGGACCTCCATTGGACACCCCTTGAAGGTCCAGGTATGTGGCTCCTTGCTGGGACCCTGAAGGACTACACTGGCAATGTTGGAGAGATGTGTGGCTCGCCAGGTTGAAGGGAATGCTTGAAAAAGGATCGGAGAAAAAAAACAGCTACCTTGTCATTGTACGTTCTTGACGTTCACGGCACCCCCAACAAGTCAGAACAGATGTTGAGCCTGCGTAGTTCTTTCAAACACATTTATAATGATGATACGCGTTCTTCCTGTGCTTGTGATCCTTGTGGCTTTTCCTCTGCTCTTGGGGGTGCGTTTTGAGTCCCAGCGGCCACCAATGGTAAGATAATATCTTCTCAGCAAAATGCAACGGGAAGAAGGATAATTTGATGGGCGCGGCCCCTCCGCCAAGGTACACAGGCCTCTCCCCAATACATTTTGCTTAAAGCAAAGCTCTAATTCAGAATTGGCGAGGAAACCTTTCGTGATCATACTAGGGTACGCAATGACCTATGTGTTCCATTTTGTACCGCTTACGGAATGCTCGTAGATCTCGTAGTCCATATCTCGTCTCAGCCGTTAAATTTCCAATCTCACACATGGGTATGAAGCCCTCTTCCAAAAGCACCTGACCTAAGCTTCCCAGGTGGTCAGGCATGCAAGGTTGAAAAGGGAGGCGTCCCTTTAGCCCCGCGCATGTCTGTGGTTATCACAGCTGCCAAGCACCAATTTTTGGGCTGCAAGTGCTCAATCGTTGCTGCTGCTCGGGCTACTGCAGTTCAACACCCAGTGCTCATGGAGAATTATAGGGATCTGGGACGAATCGTGGTCTTGAAGAAAGGCCACCACTTTCTGACGCGCCACATCAAAAGCCGTCTCCCCATACCTGCCAGAACGGCAGCGTTCAGCCAATTAGTTAAAGTGAATGTGTGTATATATATATATATATAAATATTTGTATACACATAAATAAACAGACAGAGAGAGAGAGAGAGAGCGGGGGAAAGTGTTGTGAATCAAAAACAAGATTGCTTCCAGGGAAGGATTGCATACCCACAGGCCACACTTCCCAATCTTCATTTGGTGAAGATGATATATAGGTCTTTCAGCCCCGCCTGGATTCCATGTGAATATCCGCTCGCGCTTGCAGAAGCAAACGGACCATCTCTGCATTGCCTCTCAAGGCGGCATAGTGCAAAGGGGTCTCCTGCATGTTGTCTGCAGAATTGGGCTGACAGCAGTGAGCCAAGAGCTTCCGAGCCAACTCGATCGAATCCACTGCAACCGCTTCATGAAGACAGGACTGTCCAAGGCTACCTTTGGCCAGGTCGGAATGGATACTAAAGCCTGGCAGAGAAATCAGTTCATGCAATGTTGTGTCCTTCAAACAGCCCGGGGAAGCGCAACAAAAAGGTACCAAATGAAAGGCTGCCCAACGTTGGAGACGGAGCTTCAGCTTTCCTTCCCCGCAGGAGCCCGATTCATTGTTGATAAAGCTGAGACGTCCTTCGCAATTTTTTCAGATGCTCGAGCTGCAGCTTGCTTGACATCCACATGGTAGATGGCTTCAGTGACTTGCCGATCCATGACTCCAAACTTCGAGTGGCCATCGGGAAAGAGCTTGGTGCAGGCCATAACTCCTGAACTGCAGGCCATATAGACATCCTGACCCAAGCGTGTTGCACACTCCAGGCTGTACAACCGCCATATATTGTGCCAACAGTCGGGCCCAGCAGCAATCAGGAAGCTATGACATTCAGATTGGCCCTTGTCCACGGTCAAACGTCCGTTCTCGTAACAGTTGGCCTGTATGTCCTCCGGTTGATGGGTTTACACATGTTTAAAACGAATTCACCAACAACAACATGCCTTCCAATGGTTCCAGCGGTTCCAAAGGCAGCAAAGACAGCACTGGCACCCCGGTTCGATGTCTCAGACGTGTTCGATGTCTGGGTCCATGTTTCCACCAGCGGCGAAACCCGAGCACCCCTCTCTCTGTCCCAATGATGCAGTGAATTCAACCAAACAAACCGTTCCGTTATGCTCCAACGCATATGCTCCATTCGTCCTCACACGGCTGCTGCTGGTTGTAGCTCATTAAGGAAAACCACAAGACCGCCGTGTCTTTGAGGGAGAGCGCTTCGGCAAACCACTCGATGGAAGACATGACATCGCACCAAGCCATGCCAAATTGGTAGTTAATGCAATAGTCCTGTCGAGAAACCGCGGTTTCAAGAGATTAGAAAAGAAACCTGTCATGGAGAGCTAAGGAAGGCCATCTTCGCACGCTTCAGTTTCCACTGCTCCGTTGTTGTTGTTGTTGTTGCCGTCGTCGTCGTGGTTCCATTGAAGTCAGACTCAGACTGCATGCTTGACTTGGTTGGTTGGTTGGTTGGTTGGTTGGGTGGCGGGCGGGCGGGCGGGCGGGCGGGCGGGCGTGCGGGCGGGCGGGCGGGCGTGCGTGCGTGCGTGCGTGCGTGCGTGCGTGTTCAACGCGAAGCGAAAAAACATCGGCCCCAAAACTGTGGAAACATGGACCTTCGGTCTCTCTCCAATCCAAACTCCTTGTGGTTTTGGTGATGTTTCGACCCCACAAACCACGGGAAGCACGGAGTTCGTGAAAAAGGAGAATCCTGGCTTTGAACCCTCCCCGTCCGGGATTTGCGGGGCATCGGCGACCAGCTCAGCATAAGAGCACTTCCGCTGGCTTGTCTCCGGTTGGACAATCCACCGGCAAATCTGTTCCACAGTGACCTGTGAGGTTGTTGGAAGGAGTGACCCAGGGTCGCTTGATGCCAAGATGATCCTTCCAAGATTTGGCCGTCGTCCAACTTGTTTGGTTGGTTTTCCATTTCAAAGTCGCCCAAATGGCGGACAAACATCAACCTTGCTTCATGCTCTTGAGTCTTGATGCTCTGCCAGCTTCCTCACAGCTCAACTATATATACCATCTAATTATAGGTCTTGCAAGGTCAAACCAACTTGCAGCGGTTGAGCATGTTGAGCGGCAGCTCTAAGGGATCCCAAAAACCTCCTCAAAATCAGAAGAGAGTTTTTCATACCCAAATGGGACAGCCTGACGGCCATGAGTGACGCCATCTCGCCATGCCTCTAATATGGTCAGGAATCGCGAAATCTCAGCCCTATCATTTTGTGGTAGTCCCTGGTAGTTGCATCAGTTTTCAACAAAACGGATACTTACTGATCAGTTCCTTCACTCCGCATCCACGTCCGCGTCTGCCCCACCTCTTGAAAGCACGCCTCCGGCTGTTCCTTCGCCAGCTTCCGCTGAGCTTTCCGCGCGAAGGTGCGCAGCTGCCCCAAGGTGATGCCGCGGTGCCCCACCCAGGGGATCTTGCAGCCAGTGGCCTTCGGGACCCCGTCCGTGAGGTCTTGATTGGGAATTCACACCACAAAAAGGATAGAAAGGGAATAGAAGGAATAGAAAATAACACGTATAACAGGTGTTTACTTGGTGTAGGTATCAGTTTTATTGTACATACACATTCACGCACATCAACATGTTGCATGATTTTGCCCCTTTTTTGAAACATGTTCAGAGACACCAACTGAACATCAACAGTGTGTTTAATGTCAAAAGGATTGTAGGCGGTTACAAATCAACATCTTAATTCATGTCCACGTTAATTGAAAGTATGTAAATTTAATAAACAATGTCAACGAGTTTGCAGGATCTCTAGGAGTAAACTCCTGAGTGGCAAAACCCTACATGTCCTGAAAGTAAATTCTATCTTATTGCTCGTGTTGAGCATTTTCATGCGGAACAGTTAGTTTGCACATCAGCTCATCAGCAAGTGTGCATATTTGTGTTTATATATGTATATAATATATATATATATTATATGCACATGTGTATGCAAAGTGCTCATCTGTCCGGCAATGCAGTATATGTGTTGGGAAATGCCCGTGAAGTGAATTTGAGCATGTGTCTTTTGGACATGCCGAGGCGCCTTCTGTACATCAATGTGTGAGCCACAGCATGCCATGTGTTTGTGCCTATCAGTCTCACTGATTACAACAGTGAACACGATGCAAAAGGGTTGTTCTTGAGTCTTGGGCTGGGGGGGCAGAACAGCTTTTGTAAAATATTGTCTATAGTGCTATAATAAAGTCCATCGACCCACAGAATCCCATCGATCCACAGAATCCCCTCTGTTGACCATAGTGAGACTTTAGCTGTTAACAGGTTACAGTACAAACTTTATGTTTTGTCTAACAAGGATCCTGAATCCCTGATGGTTTGGTGAAAGTAAAGGAACAGGGTTGGACCAGGGCTATCCTGTTTCCCGTTGCGTCCATGGTCACCACAAGCACCGTGGGTTTGGACCGCGATTGACAGCAAATCCGGCCGCGGCCCATATCACCCACAAAATATTGTTTTTTGGGGGGTCTATCCGAGTCTATCCTAATACCTGTAACAGTGGATGATGATGGTTAGTAAAGGCCTTGTTCAAAAATAGTGATAATTGTTTACTGACTGTTATATAATATATATATATATAAACACACACACAGGCCCCCTTCCACCCCTCCGCTCACATCAGTCCTCCCAGTCCGGTGCCTTTTTCAACCTGTGTAGTTCAATTTCCGGAACATGTTTTAGGCCTTCCAACTTGGTCCTTTGGGGGTGTTTCACCTTTCCTTGCTTCTCTAGCATTTGTTGACAAGCTGGCCACGAAACGCCCCATCCTCTTCCGGCCTTTCTCTTTTGGCCAATGCGGCCAAGCACTGAGACACGGATATCCATATTCAGAGTTTCAAAGGCTTCCCCATGGCTGTGCAGCAAGGGCCGGTGGTCGTCATCCTGCAGCGCCGGCCGCGTATTAGAACGCTGGGGGGGGCATGTCCTCCAGCTTTCGGGTGGTCGTTTTGGGCCCCGAAGCTCATGATGATCATGGAGCTTCCATCTCAATGGGGCCCTATTTGGGGATGATCAAGGGCTCAATTGAGCTCATACTCATACTTGGAAACGATTTCTTGCTATCTTGCATGAGTCGCCGCATAAACGCTTGAAGTTCCTCCTGTCATCATCCAACCCTAAACGATGGTCATGTTGAACATAGTCCAGTCAGCGTTTAGCTTCAAACCCCATCGACCCCATCTCCATGTTCAGCCTGACGTCAGCCACCTCATGGAATCCAAAATCATCGCTCGCCTACCTGCGGCTTAGCTGCTTCCACTTCAAGTTGAGGTCGGCCATCGATGCAGCACAAGTTGCCCGAACAGTCTGTTCGCAAACCATGAGTTTCCTGACCCACCGGCGAATGCGTCTGCAAAAGTGGTCAAGGCACGCCCACAAAGAACCCAAGTTTTCAAGGGGCAAGCGAACTAATTCATTTCAAAACCGCTCTACATTCATGGAAAGAATATGAAAGAATTAAAACGTCTACCCCCTCAAAAAAGCACCTAAAAACTCCGAGGAAAGCAAAGGTGTCTGTTGGGCTCGGAGGCGAGCTTCGGGCACATCAGCAATGAAGTTGAGGATCTGTCGCTTGTAGGCCTTGAGGCATCGCCAGGGTTGAATGACCCGGCCCACTGCGGCATTTGGAGCTGATGTTCTTCAGATTCTTCCATATATAATACGGCATCATGGGGCTCTGTGAACATATGTGACTATCTGGCATGTTGGTGTTCATAAATTTGACATGCAGGCCGCCCTGTATTTGTAGCTAGCAGCTAGCGGCTCCATCAACAAAGGCCAGTATTGACTGTGGCAGGGACAGGGCAAATGTTCAGCTGGTCCAAGTGTGCAAGTAGGCAGCAACTGGCACCAATCCATGGCATGGCCAGCTTTCCAAACCCATACTATCATGATCATTCATGGCACTCATTCATGACCTATCATGTATCATCCCATATCATCCCCTGGTCGAAACATCTCAAAACGATCCCAGAAACCCCAGAAACCCCATCCAACCCCAGATCCTCCCCGGACCCCACGATCCAACCCGCCTGCTCGGCGGCCTCGCTCTTGCGCACGTCCCAGCGACTGATGGCGTCCACCAGGGGGCCGGAGGAGACAGCCGAAGAGCCCACCTGGCGTCGGTGGCACGGAGCGCGGAGCAGGTTGGGCCGGGAATCCGGAAGAGAGAGGTGCTGTTCTTTTTCAGACATCCCATAGACTTCTACTTTAGATGTCTTAAAGACATCCTAACTGGGTGTATTTGGATTTTTTTTAGAAACCTGGCGAAACTCACAGGTGTGGATGTTGAGAGTTCGCCATGTTGACTCCTGGAGCTGTTGGTTTGAGGGACTGCGTCGTATAATCCTAATAGCGCCTCCCACCTAATAGCGATGGCCTCCAACCTAACTGGGGAGCAGGGCCTTTATATAGTGGTGAATGGTGTCATGTTGGGTTCCCTGCGGTCCTTGGAGGGAGAGGACATATTTGCCGCCGGTTGTTGGACCATTTGATACCAGTTGACATCATTTGACCACATGGCACCTCGAAGGATCAGACTAAGATGTTTGCAAGCTAGGCTATGCTATGGTAATAAGCCCAGAGCAACTGCTCCTCACAGGTTTGCGCCTTGAACTCCCCGGTTTGCCTAAAGGCGCTCACGGAGAAGAAGATCCAGGTCTTTCACTGGCCACCGTCTGTGTTAGCATGAGGGAAGCATCCATCGACGGTCCGGCCCCACGCACGCGACATCGCACGCACGACCACACGGAGACGGCGTGCACAGCGCGCCTGGCCGTTGGAGGTGTAGAGCTGCAACTCCTGGGGCTCGGTTGGGCTCAGTTTCCCACGTGAACCTGCTGCTCTCTCTCATCTGAACCTGTTCAAACAGCGCTTTTGCCAGAGGCAAAGGGCTAAGGGGATGCTGCTACAAAACGAATGAAACACATTGTAACACTATGCAGCCATGAAATAATCCTCCTTGCATCTCCTTGCAAGACTCCAATTCTTTCAAAACCAAATACCCCACGAGAGGAACTGGTGGCCACTCTGTGCCCACCAGCGCTTTGTTGCTATGCCCTGCGGTCCTTTTCCTTAAGAATAGTGCAATGCAACTCCAAACAGCACCTGGGCTGGGCCGTTTGTGTGCTTTTGGGCGGCACTTGCTACTTCCCAAATGTATTGTGCAAAAGAACACCCGGCCGATTGAAGAATGCACCTGGGGACTCCCATCCCACCTTCCGGAACTCCGCCTGCAACAGTAAGTTGCGGTGATGACCCGTCTAAAAATAAACGGAATGGTCTGCAAGGACTTTTAAGAACATGTAAGAATATATATATTATATATGTACAGAAATATGGTAACGCCTTTGGTGAGGGGAGATTATAAGACCAGCGCAGCGTGGCGGGAACATTCATGCAACAACCAGAACGTGCGCTCCCGGAGCATAGCTAGAGCCTGTCAGCCTATCGTGACCTGTGCTGCAAGGCAGCACAGCCAGCGCCTGGCCATTCCAATCACAAACACGAGCAGTTGCACCATGTTCGTGATGTCAAGCGTGCCAAGCATAAGAAGAACACAGGGGGGACCCCCATTCCAATTCCACAACACGCTTCGGGACAGGCAGCAGGGTCTGAGTAAAATGTCTCCGTCATTGCGCAGTTCCACTCGGAACCCTGCTTAGGCCCTTCCTGCACCTCTTTGCCCTCTGGGATGTTTGTCTGTTGAGGTCCCACCGCTCCTCCCTACGAACCTGCTCCCACCGCTCCTCTCACGCGAAAAAGGATTAAAAAAGAAAACGCCCTAACCGGACGTGTCCGGGCGCCAACTGCGCGTGAGCGATCCAGCGTCACGGTCCACGATGAGGATCGTGGCCTCCGCGTATTCGATGGCCCGGACGAAGGGCGTCTCGAGGATCTGAGAACCAAAGGACTCCCCGAACTGGTTGTTCCTCAGTTCTTTCTTTTCGCGAATGGCGAGGAGTGGCACAGCTGGGGAGTGACACGTCGGATGAGTCGGATGAGTCTGGACGAGTTCCACAGTTCGTGAGGAAAGTTTGAGGATGTTGATTACTGGGATGTGATTGCTGCTAACGGCATGTGAGAAGAATGTGAGATGGGGACGTTGGAGGGAATCGAGACCCACTTATCAATGGGGCATATCACTCAACTTTTTCCTATGGCCCTACAATGGCCATTTCTACTGGGAAACCCAACTCATGGGTGAAAGAACCATGGACATCAAATGCCCCAAAACTCTTAAAGCTGGAAATCTTGGTCCTTCGGTCCTTCGATCTGAACCCAAGCAAAGCGAAGGCATCGTTGCATCACTTCCCATAACCTACCTATTTTGGCACGGCACATGGTATATAGTACATTGCAATACATAATATATATACATATACACAATATGTGTATGTGTATGTGACTGTATATAAGTCAAAAACATACCCAAAGCAAGTGGAAGGTGAGGTGCATCTATCGAGGTATGACCTATACCAATATGGTTGCAAGTTATTACTTATATATATGTGGGGACCAAAGAGTACGCAACCGACCGCCCTGCCAATCTCATCTCTTCCTCCAATCAGGCCAAGCCTCGCGAAGGTGCAAACCCAAAGGCTGGTGCAAATGCTCAAAGCCCTGGCAGGTGGGCCACTCCGCTGTGTCGTCTATTTGCCGCGAAAACGAAGGGCTGCTGTCCGGTCTGCGCCGAAAACGAACCCCCCCCGGGCAGTTCAGTGCGACTGGACACAGCGACGAAGCGACGAAGGGCTGCCGTGGCCTATCTTCGACCACTCGGTCCACGACAAGCATGAAGTCACTGAAGCGCCCACCCCACCAGTGACTCACCATCAGCTGCGGGGGTTGTGCTTCAGCGGAGACCAGCTCTGCCCAAGAGTAACGTCTGGCCACCTCAGGATCTTCCTCGTTCACCTCCCACTGGCGGTCGTGGTATGGTATGTACTTCTTAATGACCTGTGACACGCCAGTTGAAACGCAGCAAATGGAAAATGGCGTGGGACCAGGGTCTGTATGCACAAAACATCACAAAACTAAAGCACCAAAACGCATCACGACTGAGAATAACCACTTTGCAAACCACAAGCCCCGCGCGCAGTGCGTTCAGGAACGAAAGAAAACTTGCACATGGCGTTAGCACCGCACGCCTCATCTGTGATATTGTAGAGGTTCAATGCCTGCCAATCCAGCCATTTGATTGGCCCACACTCCTCTGCCTCAGCTCTCTGCCATATGTTTGCTCCAATCAAACTGAGTACATACTAACTACTGACACATCTGTCATGCTGTACTCATGGCAAAACACTCACAACAAAGCTACAAACAAAAACTGGGTTGTGAGGCAGGGAGTTGGCCCAGATTCCTACCTGGCTGGGGGCAAAAAGAGCGATCATTCAGGCTGCCAACCACAGCAGGGGTATCGCTCAAAGTTGACATCCTAACACCCTATCACTCAACGGCCGCATACCTGCTTTTCTGGAGCTGGGTGGAATTCCCGGAATTCGCATAATTTTTTGGGCTCCTTAGTTTACCTCAAGTTTTCCAGGACAACTTTTCAAACTATAGTACAGCCTTTTGAAAGTCGAGTCATAGCCTTCGGAATGGCACCAAATCTGCAGCAAGGGGCCGAAATCGATCACTGAAAAGGCGACTGTTGTATTGGTAGAGTCACAGTTAAAAGGACTTAAGTAGATCATTGGGGGGTGTCCGTATCTTACATATAAACAATTATATACATAAATGTATATATGTATATGTTTTGTAATGTGTGTTTTTGTTAATAAGCTAAAGCCAGGGGCTGAGAAGAAAGGTGTTCAACGTTGCTATAGTACATATATCAGAACATGATTCTACATATATAGTGGGATCGCGGGATAGTATTGAATAACATACTATGTTCAGTCCATATTTAGATACTGGGGTTTGGGCCCAAAAACAATGTAACACTAGGGGAAAGTAAGTCAAAGGTGCGGTGGAAGACTATGGTCAGGTGCTTATTCAGGCAGGCCATCCTTGGGGGTGGCAGCTTCTCGCCAAAGCCACATGTTTGCTGTTCAGCAAGGACCTGGTCTTGCAAAGCCGTTTCAGGAAGATCGTCAAATCCCAGAGCTGCCTCACCCGCAAGCCCCGATCCGCCACATTGCGGATAAAGCTCCGGCGGCGCTGCGTGGACCATGGCACAGGCATGGGTGGGCTTGGCAACACGGTCGGTGTGCGTAACTTGGAAATCAGTGAAAGGGCATGGTGCCATGACTTCACTTGGGACTTGGAAAACAAAAGATCTCCAACCCTCGCAAGCATGTCTTAAGCCTTAAAGCCCCTGAAAGCATGGGTTTCCAAATGGCCCTGTGGAACCCAACCAGGCAAGAGTTCTTTGCCGGTCTCTTGCTCCAGAAGTAGCTCATTGTCGCTGGCCGCTGGCCACTATTTAAATGTGCCTCAACAAAGCATGATCAGAGTGGGCGCCAGGCAAATGCACCGAGCCATGCATGGCCATGCAAGCCATGCGCGGACGCAGCATAGGGTACCACTTGAAAGACCTACAGTATGTCATCGTGGAGGTTCAAATAATTACAATATTAATGTAATTCATCGACAAACATTGAGATTGTTCTCCACTGGATGTAAGTCTTCCAAGAGCTTCGGTGGGCATAGTCTTTCCAGGGCAAGCTTGCATACATGCGCATACGGCATACCTGGTGCTCGTGGTGCTCATACGGCTGTGTTCACTTTGACTAAGCCATCCACACATCTTCGTTCCCTGCAAGCAAGCAACGGCCTGAAGTCAAAACACTCCAGGTCGCGTCCGCCAGTCTCGTGGTCCGTCCGGCACGCCGGACGAGCCGGCTCGGCCATGCATTCGCGTGGGGCCCGTGCGTGGGGCGACTGCAGGTTGGTGAGAATCTGGAGATCTTCTTATTTTAGGTGCAACTTCCCTGGCAGGCCTATGCGGTATGTACGAGACCTCTTATTGCAACAAAAGGTTCAAACACACCCATGTCGCTTGTTCCGCAGTGGAATCATGATGAAATGTCATGTGAATGTCTGACTTCTGTCGATTTGTCCTTGATCTTGAAGGGAAATTTGGGAACCCTAGCAAAAAGAAGCATATATCACCAGCTACCTTGACTTCAAGAACATGTATACTGTACATATACGGAGCTTGAAGTTTCATGATCGAACTGGCCAGTCCTCATACAAATGAACTTCAGGATAATTTGATGAGCAAAAACTCTACGAATTCCTGTGAGCGGTCTTCTGATCAATGTCGGTGAAGCCCGTGATAAACAAGGATTCGTTGAGAACCCCAACATAGCCTCTAAGAACATTCGCTGTATATGTGTATATATGTGTATATGCGTGTAGTATGTTGTTCCTGTTGTATCACACCTTGCAGGCCTTGAAACATCTTGAAACTGAAGCATCAACAAAGTGCAGCTCAGCCTTCAAACAAGCAAAGCATGTAATGGCGGAAAGTATCAAACAAAAAAGACATGTTCTCAGGTCATGACTTGGCGCTACAAGGGCTAGTAGGGAGACAATTTCTCAAGTTCACATCTTCCCAACCAGCGAAATATGTTTCTTTCATTCCTTGCATGAATCCGTGTAATAGAGTGGAACCAGTTGATGAACTTCCTTGCCATGACCATCGTTGGTGGATCTTGGTAGTATGTCTTTGCTGGATTTACGTTTTTGTTCACCCTCCAAGAATACAAAGTTATTCTTGCAATTTCCTCCAAACCCCATCAGCCATGAAAACCGATCGTCCGAGCCCGCCCTTTCGCTGTTTTCGGGATTCCTGTGAGAGGCGCAGAACCCGCACAGCACCAGGCCTCAGCACAAAGGGAACACTGCAACTGCAAAAGTCCCACCATTATATATATATTTGCAGCATGTATAATTGCAGTATATATAAGTATGATATGAGGGTGGCACATATGATATGTGTAGTTACATAACAGTTTGTATACGTTACACCCTTATATATTATATTTGAAGGATAGCAATGATATGAGGGTTTACCTCATTTACCCATCTGTTGTTGTTGGATTTGTGTTGCGCATGTAATCCAAGGAGTCAAGCCAACGAGCGTTGACTATGGTTGAAACAATGTTTAGTTGGGGGCATGCGGCACAAACTCCTACATTCTTGTTGCACTGTTGCTGTTGCTGGCTCGCAGCACATATCCCAACATGGACCCTAACTCCTGAGCATGTAATCGCAAACATACCAAGTTGAACCACCATTGCCCGGATTCTATCCAGCATTTTTTCCCACCAAATCCACTTCTTCAAAAAAACGGCCACCAGTTGAATAGAACGGTGCAAATGTCCAACTCTTTTTGATCCAGCTGCAGCTCGCTGTACATGGATCAGCTACAGCAATTTCCGATTTGGACCTCTTCGAGGTTTCTTCCGGGCAGGACAGGATGAGGGTGTCTCCAAAAAGGGAACCGTCAACTAACCGGATAGATCTTTCCTCTACTTCTCCCTGAAAAATCGTTCTTTGCTTGGCCTGCTTGGCTCCTCATTCTGAGACACATCCTATTCAGCGCCTAGAAGTGCTATTAATCAACGCCTCAATCAACAGGACTCAGGAAGGGAGGATTTGTTCCATCAGCCCGAGACTGCTTTCAAAACAGCCTCGTAAGCATTCTGCAGTTCCTGCACCACTTTCCACATGCAAGGTCTATCACTGCACATGCTCCAGGTGGCAAATGTGTGCAAACGATCAACTATATTATGGACTTCTATACTGTGCAATCTATCAACTATCTCCGGACGGACCACTGGACCGACAGACCTCTCCTGAAATGCTGTAATCGATCCTCCGGGCTTGTCTGGATGCATCGCAAGGGCCAGCTTGCCTCGAACACGTTTTTCGGAAACCGGAACAACGGACCGTTCCGAAGGGCAACGGACCCCGAATTGCCTCAAAGAAGAACACTTCCCCCCATGTACCCAATCAAACCCCGGGTTCCGAAGGGTTCAGAAGTGGTACAGCAACTGTCAGCTACTGGAACATGGCTAGTAGAAACCTATCCGTCAAACAGCAAAAGGAAAAAATATCAAATACATTCAATGAGGGAATGAATTTTTGTTGGCAAACAAAAAACAAACAGAACATGGTCTCTTCCCACCTGTTGGCGCCCAACTATCGCAAAAGCTCTGAACAGGTCTCAAATTATTGATGCTGTTCGCCAGGTGCCGTCGGCAACATGAGTGTCTCGTCCAAAAGCACTGGCCTGCTGATTTCATCTGTACTACAGATTGCTTCCTCAAGCAGGGCTCCGGGTTTTTGACTCACAGTGGATTTGGGCATGGACCTGTCAGTCTTAGACCGTGCCACAGCTACTTGTCAGGAAAGAAACATCCCCTTTCCAGAACCTGGTGGGTTTCCCGCTTTTCCACCCGCAAATCCAGCCCAGCCCACATGAAACACCCCAGCCATCGTCGTTCCCAGGTGCGGTAGGCGCTGCGAAGTGTCTCAGCACTGGGAAGCTCATGGCTGGCAAAGCCCAAGACCTCCGGTCTGCGCAGTTCGACAATCCATCTAAAGGGACAAAAGACTATTCGTTCTAAGGCCATTCTAGTCATTTTAAAGACAATTCTTTCTAAGACTGTTCTTTCATCGTCATGTCCATTGGAGATCTTCTAAGACCATTCTAGTCCTTGTCGCAGCGAGTTCGACATTATCGTCATCATCCTTCCCAAAATGACTCACCGACGAGCTGATGATGCCCAGTTAGTGACCCAAGTAGAAGTTGACGGCAATCTGTAAAGAATCCGTTTGACACTCAAACGGGTGTAAAAAGCAAGCACCCCAAAGGAGGTGAACAAAGCCACGCTTGACTGGAGGGCTTCAACGCTGCATTGTCACAGTTGCCCTAATTTGAGACGACCAGCTGAACCTTTCCTGTTTAAAGGCCACCTCCGAGGAGTCACGGAGACCACTTGAAGGTAAACATAAGTGGATGCCTTTGGCAAAGCCGAAAGGAAGCATTTGAAGGGATGAGGAGCTAGAGTCAAGCAACGAGAGCAAAGACTCAAATCAAGGCTGTCCGAAAAGGGAAGGCGCATGCATTGCGACTCCTGGCAATGGTCTTCTGCAAAGACCTTACCTTATATAATATATTAATATCCCTATAGTTGGGCGAGCCATGCCTCCTGGATGCTTTTGTTGAAGTGCCCTACCTTCAAGTGGTGCATTCTTCGCCTGCAGGCTTTCTTGCAAACCTTTGCTGAGTCCGCAGGAACTGCCACGCTCGCCCTCCTGGCGCTCCGACTCGCTCCGTGCGTCCGACCGATGTGCGTCTCCGGTCGGTCCGGGCGTCCGCTCCGGTCGGCCGAGCCATGAAGCTTCAGCATCGCGAAACCCCATGCGAAGTACACTCAGTGAGGCAAAAAATAGCCTTTGAAACTTGTACTGTATAAACGACCTCATCAATGTCATGTTGCTTATGTTCCTTCATGTTCTTTTTGGGTGGGTGGGGTGGGTGTGTGAGAGGGTGTTCATGATTCTTCGCACTTCTTATGACGGTCACTTTGTTGACACCATTCCCCACTTCACTCGGACCTGGCTTCCACCAAAATAGCTCCCAGCAGAGCCACCTGCCTCAGCTGCACAAGAAAAAGAGAAAAACAGCAATGCATTGACCGTCCTTGCCATCCGAAGTGCGTACCGTCCTTGCCATCCATTTCCTGAGCCACACAGTCAAACCCACAGTGATAAGTTTGGCCACCTAACCCATCTGCAACCTGAAGCAAATCCAAACCAAGTACCAGTGAACCATTGAAGCAGCTTCATCGAAAAGCCACTGGTCGGTCTCACGAACAAGTGCCCTCCCTCTGTTGGAGCTGGCATGCAACACCCATCGCAAGCAATCGTGGCAAGTCTCTGCGCCATTTCTCCTCCGGATCACCTCCTGCTGTACTGCCAGCACTGCTTCGCTTGGCTTGCTGCTCCATGAAGAACTGTTGCAGCTTCACCCGGCATGCCTGCCCGATGCGGGGTGGACGTCTTTTTGGCGCTGGAGCCCCTATTCCCTGGGCCGCGATGGCGCCACAAGCACTGAAGTCTGCAACCAATAATCCCCATTGTCCGTTGTTCGTGCAACCTTGGAGCATCTTAGTTGCTTCATAGCCTTAACAAGGTGGGGTAATGAGGGAGAAGAAGCACAAGGGGACTCCAATGGACGTGTTCTGCCAAATAGGTTGCCAACATTTAGTTATCCATCTAGAATCTAAACATGCTGAATTAATAAATAACCATCCAATCCCATCGGTTGGCCAAGTGCCACCTGTGGTCAGGTATGCCGGGGGCCCTCATGACGGTGCGCCGGCTCCACGCCCGCGCCTCCGCTCGCGAGGCCGCTTCTGGCACTCCACCCAGGAGCTCGGCAGCTTCCCAGGAGCTCACGGCCTGGTAGGGAGAGCTGGGCTCCGGCCACGGAGAGGTTTTGCGCTTTTCGAGGAAGGCAAACACCAATGCAGTGGAGCACTTGGGATATGGGAACTGCTGAAAGAGATTTACAACCTTGCAAGAACTCCTTCAGCAAGTGGGCCTCTGCCAAAAAGCCCAATGCTTCTGCTGCAGCACCTGCAAATCGCAGGACACCAAGTGACCGAGTGGGCTTGGTGCTTTGTTACAATCTTTTGTTCATCAGTTCAATCAATCCATCGATCGATCAATCGATCAATTAATGTGTGCTGCGAGGTGGCACGTTGGCTCCAGGACACCTTGGCTACATGTGAGTTGAAACATGGGCCTCTGGCTGCATGCGCCCGCGCCAGGCTGGGCTGTAGCTTCAATGCTTCCACTGCATCTTGAAACGCTTCCTGCAGGAACGTACAAGTGGACATGAAAGTGTTCAGGCCTCCTGGGTGGCTTTCCTTTGAAAGTACAACCTTTGCATCATCTTATATCATCTTAGGGAGGGTGTTGCAAGTGGGTGGCATTTTATGATGATGCTGATGGCCCCGTGTGAGGTAGAGCAAGCTTGTCAAGAACAAAAGGCACCCAGTATTCTCCCTGCTTTCTATGAGATATATAGATATATAGTACTACCCTCATCCCTCGCGGTGATGTTAATATAGGGATGCAACAGGTTTATGTTTAGTTGGTCGTGTTAGTCAGGGGCGCGATCTGTGCGGTGCTGACCATGTGGGACCCATGGGCCATACTTCGAGGTGCTGCCATATCACGTGTCACATCATCTTAGAGAAACCATGAGAAACCTTCTGCCTTTCTGCCAGGTGTCAAACACCAAAAGGAACATGGGGAAAGTGTTTCACCTACAGGCTTGGCCATGCTGAGCTTCTACACCAAACCATTTTACCTTCTACAGGCTTAGTTCAAACACCTTCATACACCAAACCCTCTACAGGCTTGGCCATGCGTCATGCGGACCAGCCTGCCAGTGTGCAAGCCGCACCCGTAGCTCAGAGCGCTGGCAAAAGGCTTCGGCGCGAACAGCCTGGAGGGAACAACACTCAGTGTTGAGGGAACAACCACCCACCGCTCATAGCGTTCCTTGGAATGTGTTCAAGCCAATCTCTATATATAAACTCTACAGTACAAGCAGCTGTATGGCTCCGGGATGCTGTTCGAGAAAAAATCGGATGATTACTGTAGCATGAATGAACAAGAATCTCAGCCAGAGTGACATCGAACATTGGCAAATCCTGCTGAAACCAGCCCATTAATGATTCCATCCAATTATATATAAATTATGCTAAATACATACTAAATACACTCTGAGAATCTCTGACATTTAACTGATGTATGATAATGTGAGCATATTAAGTAAATTTACTATATAGCCATCCGTGCTACCGGTAGCAATAAAAACAACATGTTCATTGCTTGAGTGTGAGTAGAGCACAAACAAAGCACATTGCCATGCCTTCATTCGGTCTTCGTTAGACATGTCGAGTCGAAACAGTCGGCGCACTTGGAGGATCTACAGTGTGCGATTCCTTCCTCTCAGTTTAGTGAATCTGGCGTATGATCCACTCTGATGGTAACATATGGTAAGTGCGTGAGCTGCATGTGTAAGATTGCGTACATATGTTGTATGTGTATTTATCTATAGTTGTCTATATATATATATATGTGTGTGTGTGCGACTGTTTGTTTGTGGCAAAGCCATCTCAAAGCTGTGCAGCATGCGCTCCCACCTCGTCGTCAATCGCAGCGTGGATGGCCTGCAGATCCGAGATCTCAACAAATATCACACAAATCCACCAGTGGATCCTCCCAGAAAGCCAAAGTTTCCAGAGCCACAGGGAGCCTAGAATCCGGTGAATTGGGCACGAGCGACATGCCCAATCTAAGCCTAGCAGGGCCTAGCTTCAGGCCCAAATGTCATGCACACCTGTTTGTGACAGCGCGGCGTGGATGGCGTGGATACTTAACACGCTCTTTTTCACATGCAATCATGCTGAAAAATCAGCCCAGCCGGCTCTATTTGAGTTATGAAGAAGAAGAGAAGATTCGGAGATGTGAGCATTTTGTCCCAAAATGAGTGTCCCATCAGATCTGCACCGGATGGGTCTCGTTCTTTCGTCCATCTCTTCATTCGGCCACCGCTGCTTGACGGGCTTGTTCTATAAAACAGGGTGGTCCCGCTGAAAGTCGCATTCCATGGGCACATGTGTCACTTAAAACATGCCTGCCTATGCACAACCCCCACTACCCTTGTTGTTGTCATGAGCATTGCCGAGAACTCCCAACCACCATGTTCAAATGGTCAGCAGCTCCCACACCATCCCAAACCCCAAAAAAGCCACATCATTTCAACAAACACCCAACACAACAAGCTATTTTGAGGGAAATCTCCAACACTCGGCTTCTGGTCGGTTGCACCCTGCCCTTGTTGACCTCCAGTCACTCCGGCCTCGGAGAGGAGCTGCACAGCTCGTGGCACGTCGCCCAGCTGCAGCGCGCCGGCCGCGCGCCGCAGCGGCGATTCGTATCCTCGGAGCGGTGCTTCTTCTCGGGATGTCAAAGGGAGAAGGAAGGGAAGCTGGGAAGCTTTCTGGGAGGAGAAGCTGGGAAGCTGGAAGCTGGGATGCCTACCAGGAGACTTTCCCAGGATGCGTTCTGGGGTGTCCTATGGAGGTCCAATGTATCCGGTACTTAATTGATGACCCAGGTACCGGGTCACCGGACAACGTTCATTCGGTCCGATTCGTTGAGTCTGGCTTCTGCGCCACGAATCGTGGGTTCTCAAAGGCAGAGGTGTGGCATTTCTGCCTTCAACAAAGGGCATCAAAAGCCATCCATGCTTTTCACACACAGACACACAGACACACAAAGAGAGGGAGAGATATCATATATATAAATTACACACTAGTTAGGACCATCCATTGATATCCCATGGCTCAATGACTTCCGCTGTTGTCCGGGAGCTCCAGCTAGGACACCCGACAGGTGTCCAGCCACTTAGGAACTCTCGTGGGTGACTCGTCCTACTTAACATCTCGTTCCAAACCTCACCGAGCTCCGGCCTCCCGATGCGCTACCCGCGCTACACGCGCCGCGTGGCGCGGGATATCGCCCAGGTGCTCTGCCGCTGCTCCGCTCTCTGCGAGAGCTGCTGCCGCGCGGCGGCGCTCAGGCGCACCTCGCAGGGCGAAGTGAGGAGGGAGTCCTCGGTGCATCGGAGCGGAACAGCAGCCATCGACAAGCCGGCACGATCCAGAAAAGTTTTTGACACTCGTATACCATTATATAGCTCATATACCTGGAGATCTGTCAAGCATTAACTAAACTATGAAAGAATCCGGCATTTAATAATTAAAGAAACAACATGATTAACATGATGCAACATGGTGCAATGTTTCGCATCGGGCCCACTGGAGGCCTCGGCAGACCGACCTGGTCCTGCATCATCAGCATATCATAGTTCACTCTTTCCAGTGAACTTGTCCAAGTCCAGTCTGACCAAATGCTTGGAACTGGTCTGTGGTTTCCACGTGCGAACCGACCGGGACGACCAATGGTGACTCTGGTGACGGGAACCCGTCCGGGAACCGTGCGAACCGCCCGGACTCGTCATGAACTTGCACTATGCGCAGGTGCGTCATGTTTTTTTAAAGCAATACCGAAGATCAAACCAGCAATGTTGCGGTCAATCAAATGATTTGTCTGGTGCTGTGGTTGTGGGCCAGTTTCCGACTTTCCAATGGAACCTTCCTTGTGGAACCAAGAGCCGTTCTTGTTGCTGGTATCTATGCCCCAAATAGGTCAATCGGCCTTCACCCAAAATACCCAAAGCTGCACAAGCTTTGTCGTGATGTCAAGTGCTTCGAAACGGGATGTAAAAGGAAGTCAGCAGGTCACCTTCCGTTGGATCCTTCCACCCCGGAAAGAAGGGCTTAGCCAGGCTCTGAGGTCTGTCGATGGGACGATTCGGGTCTTCTACGATCGAGGTTCAGGACTTCGATGCAGGTTGTCCCCTAACAGAAGAAAGTCCCAGTTCCATATCTGGAATTCCAAGCGTTACCTGGAATCATAATTAACAGATATTAATAGATGTTCTTCAGAACTTGGAATTCCAAGTTGTTTGAGTCCCTTTGGGTTAGCCTTGTCTTTGATCGTCCATGGCCTTTGGGGGCAATAGTCCAATAAGTGTTTGAACTTTGCAAGGGTTCCGTGCTCTTCCCAAATGTCCGGTTCCGTGCTCGAGATGTGACACGCAGACCTGCCAAGTTTCGGTTGCGCTGCTCACTCGGCATGTATAGATGCCCTCCGCATCTGCTGTGCCGCCACTCAGCACCAAACGTGGAAGACACGCCCGTGGGATGGGCTGGCCATCCTTGTGCCAGCAGTACTGCAAGCGTCCTCACTGTCACGTGGTGAGGTATACCCATCACAGTTCCAAACAACATTGTGGCAGTAGATCCTTTATAACACATTGTCACTGATGTAGGCCAATAGGATCTGGGGCAGGGTCTGGGTGCTCGCCACTGTTGAGAACCCTCTGGTCCTATGACAGTGGCTTGGCGAATTTGCACCAGTCTGGCCGAGTTTTCTCCCTTAATAAAATATCTTAGTGTTCCCGATGGGCCTCATGATGCACATAACTGGTGTGCGGCGCTGCCCACCGTTTCACACGACCTATACCGTTTCGCTGCCCCCGGAAAAGAGTCCTCTCAAGATGAGTGCGGCAAAATCCAAAGATTATGGTGTACTGTATGAATGCAGAACGTGCACTGTGCACTGTGCACTTGTGGTGTTTGTGTCTACGCCTGGTGGTTCAGCGACGCACGCCGCGGCGCCTGTGGTCGATTCGAGGCTGATCACGTCGCACAGCAGTGACGTGGGGCCACTGCCGATCTCAAGGCCTCAGGGGAGCCGGTGGAAGGAAATCAGCCCATATATGATGGGTGTAGCTGGTAGGTTGGAGGCCATCGCTAGTAGGTTGGAGGCCTTTACTACTAGTTAAGCGTTTAACCATGTTTTACCCAAAATACGAAGGCCCCGTGGGCTTTGGGAGGTCTCCCTATCTTCATAGACTTTCATATGATTCTGATGCGAATGCAGGCTTTCCAAGAAATGGATGCTGCTTCTCATCATCTCAAACAAATACCCAACTGAACACCAAAATAGACCCTGAAATTCCACTGGTCTGTAGAGGAAAACAAGGCCTTTGAGGGTGCCATTCGACCTGGGTCCATGTCAATTAGTTATTGAATTTTCGGAAGTGTATATAACAACAACCATCGGAGCACCGAGGAGCGCTCTTGCGGCTGCCGCAGCAGGATGAGCTCTGAAGAGTTGGAGGCATGGGCTCGAGAGATTTGTCGAAGCAAATCCCTGGTGCCACGCGGGATGCGTCAGTGTTCTCACCAACGAGGCGGTATTCTCACCTTTTGCTGGACCCAGGGCCAGATTGGCGTTCAATGCGTCCAAACGATGTGGTTTTCCACACTGTGACATGTATCTGCATGGGTTCTCAAATGGTGCCCCGGCTCGATTTTGAGTCCGGTTATGAGTCTGTCCAACTCACAACCGTTCTGGGAGGAGTTCATTCCCACTGTCCTGGAGCACAGGTGCATCCGGCTGCTAGGGCTAAACCAGCTTCAGAGTCTTCAGACCACCGGGTTGGGCGAACCTTTCCGGCGGTCTGGCCCGTGGCACGGGCGAATCAAATGATACCTATATAATTTGGGTCTATGCTATTACCAGTAACCGTGGATAATGATGGTTAGGAAAAACCTTTCTCTAAAATAGTGACACCATGTGATACCGTAATTGTTCATAGACGGTTAATGACGGTTACAGGTAATGCAACAGCCGCAAATTATAGTTGGTATGTTTCACTTACCATGGCGTGGACAACCAACCTAATCACCTCGCGGCTGGATCGCCATCTGCAAAAGCAGCCGCAGTCTTCTCGAAGAGCAGGCTTGAGGTCTTTCCTCGCAAGAGTCTCCTCAGATGACATCAGCAAGCCTGAAAGCTATGGCCTGACGCAACTGGCCAAAGAAAAAGAACTCCTCCAAATCCTCAGGATACAAAACTATGCTAGGGGTTACAAGTTACAAGGTTGTATAAGTCGTATATATTATATAATATATATATATATATAACCCAGGCGGTGCAATAATGTGCAATAAGAGTTCAACAGCAGCATTATTATATAGAATATATAACATTATAAAAACTATTTATGTATAATTATATCATATTATATCTACATGTCTTTAAACATTAAATATATGTATGTGTATATATATATATAAAAACTCACGGACGAATCTTTTCAACGCTCCGCAGTTAATCACACAAATAGATGAGGAAAACTCACAAA